TCCTTCCTCTAGCACTTTTATACATCAGCTGATGCCTCCTGCAATATGTGACGTCACTATCCCAGGCGGCTACATGAGAAGGCTCTACATAGGTGAGAATTGAGGCAGGGTGGGTCACACAAGAGGAAAGAATTTTTTAAAAAAAGAAACGATGTAAAAAAAAAGGTGTACTTTGTATGGGAAAGATTGAAATGGTGGAAAGTGTAATTCTTGATTGAAGATCCACTTTAAGCTTTGAATCCACCTTTAAAACCAACCAGTCAGAATTTAAATGGTTAAACCTTCCATGACTGATATTTATATTTTCTGGAGATGCTGGAAATCTCCTAACAATTTATTTTATCTGTTGGGAACTCTATGGTGGATCCCTGAATCCACACACCTGCTGCGGCCATTGTGATGGGTACCCAATCTCCCAGTTTGATTATTTAATAATAAAACAAGAAGCCCAGAGCTTACTCAACTCATCTAGCTTCATCTATAACTAATATTTGATCCTTGGGTGGACTGGTCCTTTAAATAACAAGTGTTTATGAACGTCTACGTGTTTTAGTTGGTGTGTTATATAGATGAGTAAGCAGTAAATTAACTATTATGCCAGACATACTGTATATGCACCTTTGATTTCTACTGTGTGAATGTGTACAGCTACTATTTAAAAACAAAAATTCTTTATTTGTTCCTGTGGAATGGCCAGGCGAGTAAAAAATTATCACTGAGAGAACCAAAAAAATCAGTAAGCTGTATGCCAATAAATGTTGACATGTCTGCATGTTGCCTTGAAATAGTACACAATGTAACAGTGTGGATAATCCCCTCGAGGATGTGCCTACAAAACAACTTCTCTTGCTCGGAAGGAACTAGGAAGGAATTCTCACCTTTATGTATTTTTAATATCACTTTCCCAGGCAGCTTGTTTCAGTTTGTCTGAATGAGACGTTGTGCTTTTGAAGCACAATAGAAACCAGTATATCATGAAGATAATTAATAAATAGCACAAATATTGGCCAAGATGTTAGGCATTATATCCTACGCTGCCATAGGTTTTATTGGGTCTAATGCTCTCAGATCACCCCTGATGACCGGTGACAGTATTAAGAGCAGATTGCCATTTCCTGTAATTTGCTAGTGTAATTAATTTAATGCTAAATTACATTCATATGTATTTTTTTCAGGTCTTGCACTGTGGAAGCATATTGTAGTTTGTAATGATAGGTGCCAACCATTTGTCTTTTTTTATGAACAGTATCTTCTTGTAGGTATAGAAAGATTTCCATGGGATAATATACCAACCATACAGTGTAATGCTGACCATTCATTTAAAATAGTATTTTATCAAAAAAATAAATGATAGTTCAGCAAAACAAAGAGAATTTAAACTTGGTGAATTTGATTAAATTTTTCACCACAATTGATTGCATTTTCATTGCTATAAGCAATTGTTGATTGATCCAATTGTCCCTTAAAGTATAAGTAAAATAATTTACTAAACTTTTATAAAAGCTTTTAACATGTTAATGTAATTTAAAAAGTCAATTTCAATTTCAGTATGCATCTTCAATTAAAATATTATCTGATGAAGGTCCTTTTCAGGCACTTCTTTTTATACGGTGACAACATTCCATCTCCCATTTGTGCTCCAGTGTTGTGAATGTGTCGCACAGGCTTCTGATAAAGATTTTAATTGGTTGTTTCAACACACATGCATCAGGAAACTATCCCTGAGAAATGTCATGCAGCCATCATTGGAACACATGCATGTAGATAGGAAGTTACTTCAAAGAAGCTGTAGGAAATCAGCAGCACTGAGATGCAACAAAGCAGAGAAAGAGAGGGGTTAACAAGTATTTTTAATTGTACTATTTAATGGTACATGATTATAATATACAGTGTTTTTATCAAACTATTTGTCATTTAGCTGTGGTTTACATCTACTTTAAAGTAGCATTAAACTCATCAGTTAAATCTTAAAAATCCATTCAAGTATCTTAACCATTAATAAAAAAGCATGTTATTTGTGTATCACTCAGCTGCATATCCTCAAATCATCTCTGAATTGGTGCTGACACTGTCCTTCCTTCTGGAGGGTGGCTACTTTTGTTCCCCATGGTCCCTGTGTGTGTTGTAAAGTAACCACCTCTCCAAGCTCACTCCTGTGATGGACTTCAACCTCACATTTAGCTTCCTAATTTGTAAGGATGTACAAAAATAGAAAAAAGGGTTTTAAGGCACTAAATCACACATTTGATAGGCTTAAATAATGTTATTCCAAAGTGTAAAAACATTAAAAGATTTTACAAAAATGTCTGTTTCAATTGCTTTTGATCCATAAGAATTAACCTCTAACATAGATCAGCTACCACCTCCCGGGTCCCCCAAAAGGGAGAAAAAAAGTCACATATGACCACCCCTAAATTGTCATGGAGTCTAAACTCTCAAATGTAGTGATTGATCAAATTTGGGGGTCACCCAGATGCTCGATGCGTTTTGCGGTATGCTTTCTCAAGAAGAATAGGTATTCTGTAGATTACAAACATCAATGAATATACAGTTTTTTACAATGCAACATTAGTAAAGAGGGGTATATACAGAACAGTGGCCCCTCATTCATAATATCACACAGCAAATAAATACCTGTTTACTGAGACACAAAGAATAGATGAGCCAAGCCTCCAAGCAAAGCCAGACCAGCACCACAACTGTAGCCCATAAGGGGTTATGTGAGTGAACGAAAAGTCCCTATAGATCAAAAATGTATATCCAGTCCTAGGAAGAATCAATAAATATGTGTCCATTTGTATTTTCAAAGCAGTGGCTCAAAGTTAATTCCACATCATTAATGGCATACTGCACCAAGACAGTGTCCCAATGGCACATATGTATACCCACCTTATCTCCAATGTTATTACCTGAAGAGGGGGAGGAAGATATTGTAATAGGAGAACAAGCTCCTTATTAGTGTAAATGAGATTACAGAAAGAGACATCTATAAGGCAAATGTAAAAAAGATATACTAAGGACTCAAACTAAAATATCTATCCATATGTAATAATGCAAGAAAAATGCCCCAAAACATTTAAACAAATGTTAATCAAATGTGTGATTGGCTGCCTCAAAACCCCTTTTTTTCTATTTTTTTTACATAGTTTCCTAATTTGTATTGAGATTGTAGTCCATCACAGGAGCGAGCTTGGAACGGTCGCTACTTTACAACACAAATTTAGCCACCCTCCAGAAGGGTTTCAACACAAATTCAGAGATGATTTGAGGATATACAGCTGATTGATACACAAATAAGATATACTATTAATATTATTATACTATTAATATACTTGAATGCATTTTTAAGATTTAACTCCTGAGTTTAGTGTCACTAAAGGAGAATTATGCGGTGAGTCATCCCCATAATTCAAGCCGACCTGTGATAAAGAAGCTGTCACAGGTCGGCTTTATTGATCAGGTCAGCGAAAATACACCACTGTTGTTGACTCCCCGATCCTCTCCCTGCAGAGAGTAATGACTGTCAGACACAGGGATTCCTCCTCTATTCGATCCTCCAGCAATGACTGGAGGACTGGATGGGGAGGGGGTGGGCACAGCTAACTCTGCCTCTAGAGAGGCTGAGCCAGCTTTCAATCAGCCAGTGGGGTGGATCTTGACAGCATTGTCAGGATCCGGGTGCGGCACTCTCAGCAAATACTGAGTTTTGGGTCACTGGAGGACACAGTATATGTCCTCCTGTGAACCTGAGGAGAACTATTGGCAAAAAAGGCTGTCCATAGTTCTCCTTTAAAGTGTGTTTTTAGAAAGCACTCAGTAGAGAACAGTTTGAAGCTTTTTAAAAATGTTTTTGCTGTCTGCCTATTGGGGAGATTAATCTCTCTATTTGTCCTGATGATCATTGTCATCAAGGTAAAAATGATTGGAAATCCAAAATTTCACACCTGGTACCAGAACAGATGAGGGTAAATCTCCAGTAGGGGCACTCTTCTGGTGACAAGAGCCTAACATTGATTGTTTCATCTAACAAATGATTGTTCTATAGAATGATTGTATCTTTATGTGTATGGCCAACAAATCGGTGGGGATACACACACAATAGAAAGGATAGACATCTCTCTGGGAAAGATGGTCAGAGAGACAGTTGCCAGTCCCAGAACCTTAAAACCAAATTCCAGTTTGGGTAAATAAAATTAAAATCCCCCCCAAGAGCTTGTAAAAAACAGCTCTGGCTGGCTTGCCTACCTCTTCAGCAATGTCCCCCACAACCCCACAAACTCACCCGGCCATCAATCTAGCAGTGCTCGTCTTCTGGGTTGTATGATGTACAGTATCATTCAACCCTCTTCCTGTGAGTTGAGGGCATCAAAACTCTGCGCCCACCCTAAGCAGTATGCTGCAGACAATAGCACAACATAATTTTGTTGAATTGTTCTCTGCAACATTAAGGACCCTCCCACTTCCGGAGGAAGAAGAGGGCACAGAGAAACCTGTAACATTATCAGATCCAGCCAAAGAGATCTGTAAAAAAAAGTATGCATATAATTTTTTTACAACTGCGGGGATGCCCCAATGGGGGAGGAGAGAAATATCTAAGAACTGTTGTCATCTTTTGTGTTTCTTTGCAGACACTATGTAGCGACACATACATAACTATCACACATGTATTCCCTTTTGCACATAGCAACTCATCAAAAATACACACAATTGTAGAGGTAATTTTTCATGGCAACAGAGCAAATCTTATAGGTGCCTCTTCATCACTTTGGCTATAGTCATTTCTCCAGGATACTGTTCACTTTGTGAAGAAACACTCTATGTTAAAATGTATTTATTACATAGCTTTGTATCAGCAAGTATAGGATTCCTTTTACGTAGCTATAAATGAACACACAATTCAGTTCATCACGTTAGACCATCTGTATGATCAGATGTAATTAAACAACAATGCATGCCAATCCAATAAAAGTTTAATATTTACTTTATTTTTTTCCCCACAGGATAAATGTAAAGCATCAAGACATACGTGAAAAACAGGTGAAAGTGTTATGGGACCTCGGTGCAAGTCATGCTATGGAGGATGATGACATGGACCCTAGTTATGCCAGGATAAACCACTTTAAGGAGTCACCTCCAAGTCACAGCTCCCATAGGCCTTATTCTCCTCCAAAGCTTGGGGTGTATAGCTACACAAGGAACCCACTTGCTCCTGTCTCAGAGAGGGATCAAGTTCAAGACCTTTATGGTAAAATAAACAAGAGGCAGCAAGCACAGGAAACAGATGACAGGTAATAACCACTACCAAACACATCTGATCACTCCTTGGGCCTTGATGGCTCCATGCCCATTAAATGATGTTGTATGAAAAATTGCATATGATTACACTTTACCTTTTATTCCTGCTGTAAAGAATCATGCAGTTTCAATTAGCCTGGGGGAAGATCGCATTTGTAAGCATTTGTATCCTGGATCTAAGCTTTGCTCACAAGACTGATTACCCTTCTAAGTCTTTGCTCTTGCCAAGAAGGGAGGAAGCAGCATTGTTTAAACCACGTGTCTATTTAAAATGGGTTAATGATTGTGAAAGCAATCATGAAAAACCAACCCTAAGCAATCACTGCTGAAAAAAAGATAAAATCCTGTTGTGGTGTGACAGCAGAGGTTTCCATCTTGTCCTCTTCGCAATTAAGTTTTTATGCTACCATATATTGATCCAGGACACAAAATGGACATAACCCGGGCATTCAAATCTTTGTTATAAAACATGTTGTTATCAATGTATGTCTGTTTGGCCAGGCATACTGTGCATTTTCATTTCTTTCTTTTGTGGAATTGGAGGTTGGCTGCAAGACACACAAACTACAGCATGTTGTATTTTTTCTACCCATTAAGGTTATGAATGTTTTCAGAGAACGTATAATAAAGACAACCGTGTTGAGGAAAAGACATTCAATTTATTCACTGCTGCTGGATTGATTAGCTGCTTTTTGAATATTATCCTGCTAAGCACCCAGCCATTTGTGGATATTTATAAGCCGCCAACAAAAGGCTTGATTTTTTGTCATGATAAAAAAGACTTTGCTGGCTACAAAGCAAAACAAATCACCCTTTATACCCACAGCTTCTGAAAATCTATCTTCCTTTATTCTTGAGGGCATTCTGTGTATAGTGTTTGGTTTTTGTAAACTCCTCCATAAATATCTAGATAAAAACATGATAGTATTTAAAGAAGCACAGCACAAAGCTGCTCACCGCATCGTTTGGGGAGATGAGTATAATCTGTAAATTATACTTACCTTCCTTTTGTCCTTTGCTGGAAACACAGCAGAGAAATGGCAATCATTGACTTCAGCTTCTAATCCCAGCTATTGTTTGATGTAGCCACCCCCATACAAGTCTACTGGGGCAACTAATTTAAACAATGCAGTGAAGATTGCCATGACAAGAAGCGTGCCACCTGTAGTGGGAGAAAGTTTTTTTTCATTTTTTTGCAGCATTTATAGCGGAGAACACTGGATGGGAGATAAATATGACTTACAAAAGATGTTTTACCTCCCCATTTCAGAGAACAACTTTGTGGAGTTCTTCAGTAACAGCACTAATTAGGTTGTTTTTAGCAAAACAGTAATGAGTGTTTCATTCACTGTTGTTAGTGTTAATTAATATTGTACTATTAACAAGAGATTTTCAGTTAATCAATCCACTTTCCCTCATCATCATTTATCAATAATGTCTCAAATCCATCACAGCAATATTAGGATAACTTTGTTCACAATATTTTTTTAGGTCATTTTGTTCCCCTTTGATATCATATTTGCTGCCCACTGATTTCTATCTAGATTGATATACCACTTAACGGTATCCATAAACTCATAATAATTGCCAGTACTTAGTAGACAATGCAACAACATAAAACACCCCTTTTTATTAACAGTATACATATTAGTGTTTATTAGGTGATCTGTGCATATACTGGGAACTGCAGTGACAAGCCAATCATATGGTTTACTATTAGAAATAGCTGGGGGAAAAGGAAACAATGTCTTCCACCCACAACCTCTTCTGATCATTCCTTACCAATATAATTTCAGTTCACTGCCATCATTTCTTGAAATCTGGAATTGCTAGTTGTAATGGCCATCTAATGATACTACTAGAGATGTTCAGATACCAAGTACCCTACTCGTTACAAGTACATGTACAGATACTTTTCCAGGACCAGACTAGAAAAAAATTCAAAAGTTAGGAGGCAGCTGTCATTTGTAAGGAGCACACGGAGCTCCTGGGATTTGTACATCTCTGTTTTAATGTATGATTTTGTTTTTATAAATAAAGGGATGCACCGATACCATTTTTCCAAGTGCCAGTAATGATAGTTTTCCAAGTCCTCACAGATACAAGTACTGATACATTTTTGTTTATTGTCATGTGACAGTTTTTTAAAAAACAATATCGACTAATGATTTCAGGACAGTGGTGGACCACCAGAGCTAGGTCCCAGCTGCTACTGCTGTGACTCTGGTAGTTCTCGTAAAATTGTCAAGTATCGGCACTGGTATCTGAACTGGTATCTGGACATCCCTAGATACTACCATCATTCTAAGAGTTATTTATTCCATTCTATTGGTGGAATTTCTTCAAGAAATGATACAGGTACCAATAAATCAATGCCTCCATATCACTTAAAATTCACTTCAGAAGTGTACCATCTGCAGCAGATATGCTAAGCATATACCTAAAGGTGCCCACATGCACAGCTTGGTTAAGAACTTGTCCCCTTCCTTCCCAGTGTTGATTAGGAAGCTCATATCTACTACTTGTTAAGCACTTTGAAAGTGACCACAGAGTAGCGCAAAGTTTTAACGCAAAATTATACGTTATGTATTTGAGCACATAGAGAACTGGCAGGTTTATTCAGTAAGACAAGCCAAGGCACAATTTTAATGTGCAAAGGGCCGTGACAAAGGACTGCTGATCAGATTTTTAATTGCTGTTGTAAGATGACTTAAGATCATTTGGGACTTGTTGCTATTCCACTATGCACATTATGATTGCTAATTTCCCTGCCTTACTGAATACGCTATAAAATTAAAGCTAATATAACTTTCATATACCTTTATGAAACCTCAGTAGTGGAAGCAAACATTTCAAAGGTTGAATCTGTATTTATAACAACTCAGTAAGCAGTTCATTAGAAATAATAGTGATATATGTTTTTAAAAGTATGTAAATTAAGACTAATTTGGCATGAAAATAATTTGCCTGTATTGATTGCTATTGTATTATGTCACTGTGCCTTCAATTGTGGAATATTGTATTTATCAAATTGTTATGCTATGATTCACTTGAAGTAAGGCTGAATTTGCATGTTGTTTTGTTTAATTTCTATATGTTCCATGTTGACATCATACCTTATCATGCATGCAATGTTTCCTGAAAATTTGCTTTAATTTGTCTAATTGATTTGTGGCTTCAGACTGCTTGCGTTGCTGAGTAGATTCTTGGAATCAGTGTTTGATTAGCTAATGCCTAGAAGATACTGATTGGATCATGGCTGTCAGCATTATGATTGATCACATTGTAAAAGACTCGCTTTTCGCTGTGGATACATTTATGTTTGTCAAATCAGCAAAATAAATTCTGGTCATATTTAAAATGGTTTATTTGTTTCTGCCGACAATTTGGTAAAGTTGGTAATTTATTTCATACTTATGTTCAAAATATACATAGTAAATTTTTCTTGACAAAGACGGACTGAGCTCTGTCAAAACATTGAAAAGAAAATGCTGTTTCTTTGACTTATTACCGCTGCAAGGTCTGTGAGTGCCTCTATACCTACTTTTATTAGTATGAAATGTTATTCAGTAGTAGAAGTTTGTTTAATCTTTGTTTAATTTGAATAGTTTCAAATGTTTTTTTTTTACATTGACCTGAAAGTGAACCCGTGGCCAGGATATGGATGTTTAGCTGTTTACATATTCTTAACACACATTGAATAAGATTTGGGAGGGGAGGGGGTGAGCAGGATTAGCTGAGTTGGTGAAAAATGACCTGAGCTGCTTCATTTCCTCTGCTGAGAACTTCGAGGATGAATTGTGCCACATTGTTTGCCGCTACAAAGGTCGGTAAGGAGTTATGTAAAAAACATGTAAATACTTGAATGTACTGGCTAGAGGTTCACTTTAAAGTTGGATTTAACAAAAAATCCATGGTTTTCACTCCACCTTTATACTGTATGTTATGTCAAATATTGGTAATGAAGAATGACAGTAAGCACTGTTTGTGTCATATGATACAAACATTGTGAATGCTTACAAAAACAGGGCTTATACTCATAAGCATAAATACTGTCCTAATACCGTTAAGCCCTGTTTGAGAAAACCATTTGCTTGATCATCTGAGGTGCATAATGTACATTTCCAGGTTTGAAAAGTAAAAGTGGCATTTTTTAAAAATATAACATTTGTTATATTTCTGTTGTGGCAAGCTTTGGCCTATCCATTCTATCTGGCTGATTCATGTCCGCTTTGAAAACACTGAATTGATAACATATCCCACTTTCTGCAGACTATCTGGACTGCTGGTCCATGTGAGGTATGACATCTGCAATCTTTGCCATACATTCAAAGATTGTGTAGTGTTGGAAGTAACATTGAAATGATGCATCCTGTGCAATAAATGTGGTATCACCACTGTGCACAGTAAATGTATGAAGCATACAGCGACATTAGCAACTTTAGTATTAAAATATAGCAAGCTGAAATAAAATATTATTTACACTATATTTTTTAATTTGATCATAACTCAAGGTCATCCTTAGCCATATCATTTTATAACTTTGTAGGTTTGGACATGGAAATAAAACTAATCTTTGCTCCCCTTTTGCACTGGAATCGTTTTTAGGCTTGTTCCTGTATGTGCTGCCAGTCCCTTTGGTTTTAGGGAGAATTGATCAAAAGACTTTTATACTAGAGTGACTGATACCAGAGCTTCTAACATGGCTAGATTTATATGTCCTGCCTAGACAAGCAGTCTTTGGCAGCCCAGCTCTTATCCCAATTGACTGACTAGCCATGATGTCACACTAACATTATTAGACATAATAGTCATACAAGATACACCAAGGACAGGGAGTAGAGAGGCCGAAAGTGACAGTTTGCTTACTCTGTATTAGTACACCTATAACTGATGACTAGAAGAATAGGGGACATTAATGCCCTTATTTGCTGCAAGCACATTTCACCAACAAAACTGCTTAACTGATCAGGAACAACAACGAGGATTAAGA